CAATTTAATGTGCACTATTTCTGGAAGTCTGCAAAGGCCCTTGGTCTCTTCTGGCGCTTGAACCGCATTGATCCGAGTTCAGTGGCCTGGTGGAGCGAGGTAATAAAAGTGGTTTGATGGTTCGCACCCTTGTGGCTCGCTTTGTGTTGTGTGCCTTCTAGTCGTTTCCGACTTAAGTACTGCGGCAACTCACAAACCACAAGGTTGTGAGTTCAGTCCCAGCCAGGGGCTCAGGATCAACTCAGGCTTGCATCCTTCCAAGGTCGTTAAAATGAGTAGCCAGTAGGCAACCTTTCCCCTTTAAGGGCCGAGGGACTTCAGCTCCCAGAATCCCAGGAGCTATTGGCCAACGTGGGACTATTGGCCAACATAGCTGAGGCTTCTGGGAGCTGAAGTCCCTGGGCCCTATCCCTAAGTATAAGGTGACCCTAAGGGGAACCACTGCTCATGGGGTTTTCTTCTTGGCAAGATTGGTTCAGAGGAGGTTTGCCTTTTGCTCTCTTTCTGAGGCTGAGAGCATGTGACTTGCCCAAGGTTAGGGCCGAGCTGGGACTCCAACCTTGGTCCCTAGAGTTGGAGTCCAACGCTGAAACCACTAGGCCACGTTGGCTCCCGCGTGGCTGGTGTTAGGTTCATTGAAACGAACAGGGTTTGTTGGTTGCAGTGGGTCTGCTCTAATAGGCAGAAGGCTGGCTTGACCCTCGGAAAGTACCCTGCAGCCCGGATCCCCCTCTCTGCCCAGACTACCCATTTCCTGCAGGGGCTCATGGGGACTGGAGTCCCATTGTATGCAACAGCAGTCCTATGCCCAGCTGGGATGAAGTCCCATTGAGCTCAGTGGGGTTTATTCCTGGGAGGAAGACACACACAGAGAGGGGCTTGAGAGCCAGCGTGGTGGTGTGGTTTGGGCGTTGGACTGGGACACTGGGAGACCAGGGTTCGAATCCGTTTGGCCACTGAAGCCTACCTTGGCCAAGTCACACACTCTCAGCCTCAGAGGAAAGGAAGGGCGACCTCCCTCTTAGCTAAGAAAATCCCGTACAGGGTCACTTTAGGGTCGCCATAATGACTTGAAGGCACACACCACCAGCAGAGTCGGGCTAATGGCAGGATGGAAACGGCTGAAGGAGTGGGAAGAAGCCCTTCTGCCCGCACCAGGCTGGAAACGTGTGGCAGAAAAGGAGAGGTTTTGTCCAGGGACTTTCCCGCGTCTGCGAGGTCGGGCAGGACTGACGTTTGTGTGT